TGATGACAATAAATAAGTGACATTTGTACTCCTATTAAACATGTAACTTCGAGAAAAAGGCTTCTAGTTGTTTCTAACAGAAGTCCCAGAGCTCTCACAAACTTTCAAAACAAAGGCAGCACAGACGGAATAGACACTAATGCAAACAAGAACATATGGGGAAAATGAAGCTAGGTGCTTAGAACTTAAGTCAATTTGAACATATTATAAGTCAATAACCAGTTCAGCCCTTGTTGCAAAATTAATAACCAGGCTGCAAATTCTTTTACCAATATCAAGGTCAATTTGTATAACAAGCAAAACAGCAAGGGATCCACCGGCTCCATACCATTTTGTCCGTGTTATAGCGAGAAGCAAAACCAATTCCAGACTTCCTTTGGTGACCAAGCCAGAACATTTCAGTTCCCATTGATAAGTTCGGAGTAACACTCTGAAAAGTAAGGTTTCATTATCAGAAAAAGCTTAAATAATGATCAATCAATCTTTATAGCTGGAATAAGCCAAGCTAATTTAACATACAGAAAATGCACATCATTCTAATGGATGAGAACATGAATTCTCCTGCTCCGATTCAATAGAGGAAACTCACATATAAAGAACTACTTAATGAACAAAAGAGCATAGCACTTAGCAAAGTACAAAATGTAAGAGCCAGGCACGAGTAAGTTGTTAGTGCTGAAAACTTCAAACTGTACTAGCATCTAGCATAACCTAAATGCAACAGAAAATGCATAACTTTTACTCCAGCCTACTTATCTTGAATTTGGCATTGAACAAAGCAACTCAGATGTCATCTCTACACATCCTGCAGTCAAATATAATTTGTATTCAAAACTAAAATCTTAAAAGCGCATAGCGCGGACTGAATTGATCCTTGATCCTTAGGATATCCACATCAACAAGGTAGTAAGATAATTAACTGACAGAAGCTAAGCAATCAAATAGTAAATGCTTGAGGAAAAAGATATATGCAACTCAAACAGATATCAAGAAGCACAAATATGAAAGGAGGACATAAACCAAGGCTACTGAATTTTGCATGGCATTAAACCACCAAATGAGTCATTTTTTCCATCTTTCTACAACAACGCATTAACATTAAGATGGAAGTTGAAACTTAGAAAGTAAAGGGCATTGCTAAAGTTTTTACCTGAATATAATTTGCACCATAGAATGCATTGTTCCCAATTTGGAATTGTGCTCGATAGTCACTTCCCTGTACAAATAAGTGAAGTGTTGATGCAAGGAACTAATAAATGTATGATAAAAAGTACTCCTAGAAGTAAAGTAAAAGTTTGCCTATTACAAATGCTAATAAAAAAATTAATCATGAAAGTTTGGAAAACTATAATTGACTGAATTGTCAGAAATGCCAACCTTGTAGTCAAAGTTAAACATTCCTTGTGAGTAATGTGCCTCTTGGGTAAGCTGGGAAAAGAGCAACCATCAGTAGAATAAGGAAAGCAAAGTATCAACAAAAGAAAGGATGAACCAGTGAACCTAAACTCTTTGATCCATCTACCTGTGCATTTACTTTCAGCGTCAGATTGTCTGTCAAATCACATTTCACACGAGCATTAAGCCTTCCATCTGTCATCACCCTTCCAATGAGCATTAACTACACGTAATTTCATGCACGGAAGCAAATGAGTTGAAGAAATACATCATTGTGGAAGATGCCACAATAACAATGGATGGCATGGAAACAAACCTTTGGATCTAAAAAATTGGCACCAAATTCATAATGCGCAGTTGGAACTTTAATAGTTTCAGATGCCTGGGCTGGAACTTCTAAGGAGCCCATAAAAACGCTGTGGAAGATGTTGTTAGGATATACTCTGGACAAATATAGCATAAGATATTTGCTAACATTTATGTAACGGTCTCACCTGTGGCTAAGAGAAAACTTTTGATTCAACGGTTTTGTGAAGTCAAACCTCAATCCTTCAAAAAGTTCAGGCTTCAAAGACACTGCTAAAGGAGCATGTCAGCAGAGATCATGAAAGCAATACTAAAGTTATACAGTAGTGTGGATGCACCAAACAACAACAACAACAATTGGACCATTTAGTTTGCTATTGCTTTGGTCATACACAAAAATTAATGAACTACACAGGGCATATATCCCCTAGTTAATTGAAGGGGAACTCAACAAGTGGACAAAATTTCAAAATGGTATTCTATATTGTAATCTAAATCTAAATTTTGAACGTTACTGCAGTTCAATCATTCTATTCAACCATAACATTTAGCTTCCAGTACTTCTCATCTCTTTCTGATACATTCAAGAATAATATTTGATGGAGACTACTTGAACAGTTGAACTTGACTAAAGTTAAGAAAGAAATGCTGAAGATTTTATTGGAGCAGGAAAAACAGAAAGGCAGCGTATGGGATCAACCTATATTTATAGCTAATTTTCAGTTATCAAAGTACACTGAGCAATGCCCATTGCCAAATATATAAGGTAGGAGTAGGACCCAAGCAAGTTGCCATGCACATCAGAATCTATAAGAAGTCTGAAAAGATCTTAGGCACTGAAGATGTGCATAAAAGCTTGTGGTAAGAACTAAACAGCAAAGCAGTCTGGACATGGACACAAACACACGGATTACCCCTTCACCTAAATTGTGCTTTCTATAACCAGCTAACTAATAATAGAATACTATTCTCTTAGTATATCAGAAGGCCATGTCAACTATCAAACTGATTGAGAACAGGCTCGTAGCTGGGTAACATGGCCTGTGAGGCAAGCTGCTCGCTCGGATTCAATCATCAGGATTGCTTGAAAGGTGTCTCATCATGGCATGCCCCCAAAATAGTTTCCAGATCAGCCTCTAGGTTTTTTGCGCCACAACTCGGGCCAGGTTCAATCCTCAGGATTATTTGGTGGGTGTCTCATCATGGCATGCCACCAAAATAATTTCCAGATCGGCCACCAGCATCTTTGGGCCACAATGGGACAGCGACGGGCTCGTATTCCAAGCCAGGGCTTCATGAACCTCTTCAGCAGGTGTATGTGTGCATAGGGTCAATCTAGTGTACGCTTTAAGGGCATTAATTGATGTACATGTGGGGTGTGTTGAGATGTACGTTCAGATGCTACAACTTGTGCCACAAGTGGAGGCCTAAAAAAGTGTCAAGAAGATTTTCTTACAATTTATGGAATATGCATAAAAAACATGGGCAGTGAGCTGGTAAACTGAATAAACAAGTCATAAGTCATCTAGATAGAGGCGTGGTGTATATGAATTGACATTTGTGACAAGATATCAATGTTATAAATAAATAATTAGACAAATACCAAATCCTAGAGACAGCAAGTGTAGTGGAGTTGGTGGAATCAAAAGACTTATATTAGAGCAAAAACTGCATCTACAGTAGCAGTTAATGCGTTGCACCGTGAGAATTGTGTGCAAAAGATACTTGCGTCATACAAATCGCCGAGCAATTCCTAAGACACATCTATCAAAGCTGTGTAATAATGACAATCAACGAAGCACCATAATTTTCAGATCCAACTATGAACCCCGTAAAAGTAAAGCAGCAGCCTAGAAATCGATCCACATCAAGCAATTCAATCGCTGCCAATCAACCAGTTCTACCACGGGTATCACCAACCACATGAGGGCAGCGCATACCGAGTGAAAACTACACAATGCCGCAGCATTGCACACGCGCTAGCTGGTTATGGAGTTAAAACGGAGGGGTAAGGGCACAAACTGAGGGCCTCGCGCTGGATCTCCTCGAATGGCACGGGGCAGGGGAGGTTGAGGTAGTCCACCTTCTCCTCCCCCTCCGACCTCGGCAGGAGGATCCCGGCGAGCCCGGGCCCATAGGGCGGCACGCCCGCCTGGGGCGGCGCTGAGTGAGGAGGAGGTGGCACGGCGGCGGAGGCAACAGATCCCATGGCGATGGCGTAACCCTAGGTCGGGGTTCTGGGGTTTGGGTTTGGGGCGCTCAGGCCTCGTCTCGTCCCCCACCTCGCGACGCGGAGCGGCGGAGGCGGCGGGAACTTTTCACCAAACCCCTCCACTTCTTTTCCTATCTGCTCTCTTCTACGGCAGACAGCAATACGGTTAAGCCCTGCCGGACTGGGGGGTTTGGAAGCAAGGCCGCCTGGGCTTTGCGTGGGTTTTGCCGTTTTGGGAGGGTTTCTTCACTCCAACCTCCATTGCTAATCCACTAGTATAATGCTCATGCTAACGTAACGAAAGCATATAACCATACAAATTAAATAACCAAAAGACATATATATGAAGTCATTAAGCATCACTGAGATATATTTATGATTCATGAGTTATATTTATGATTCACGCAAAAAAGAAATATTAAAAAGGAAGTCTACCTTACCCTATCAAATTATGAATAATAACATTTTTCAATATTAGTGATCACATCTATAACCAAGCATGTATTCAGGCTCCCCTACATTCAGAAGCCATCCATCCTCAGATCTGCCTATCTATTTAGCCACAACACACTTTAAGAAAAGGTGGTGAATAGTTTATTCTATGAAAGGAGACTGGCAAACTGTTGAATCACCGCTAACTTAAATGACCAAACTTTCATTCACCAATCTTTAAGTATTTCAGATAACATTGCACATAGTCTAAAGCCACATACTGTTACCTACGCACCAAAGTGCAAATATCAAACAACAGAAAAATACAGAGGATCGGTATTGAAATATCGAGTTATGGGAAAAAGGACTCAACATTATTATTTTTTAACCCACTAACATTCAGCCCATCTATTAAGCAGGTTCTTTTTGTTAGTGAAAGGAGGTCAGAGGCCCCGTGTTTCGCTGTGCGCATGTGGCAAAAACAAAAAAGAAAGAAGAGCAAGAGTAGGATTGTAGGAGTAGTAGATCGATGTCGCTCTCGTCCCATCCAGCCCATCCAGAAGCTGAGAAGCACGCAGCAGGTGCTCATCGTCCATCCTGAACTCTGATCCGTCCCATTTCAGAATTCAGAGGCAGAGCTGGTGACTTCACTTCACTACACCTGGATGTTAACGACCTTGCCCCCTGCTGTCAGCTTGGGTATGGTGAGGTAGAGCACGCCGTCCCTCACCTCCGCACCGATCTTATCCATGTCCAAGTTCTCGGGCAGCTCCACCCACGTCCTGTACTGGCTGAAGCTTGCCGCCGGCCACGCCTCCTCCTCGTCTCCCTCTTCGTATCCGCCGCCTGCTGCTGCTTCCTGCTTCTCGTCACCGCCAGCACAGTCCGAAGCTTTGTTTTGATAGAAATGCTCCCGCCAACTATTACACCAATATTAACAGTGATGTAAAACCATCTCAGTTTTCAAGCATTGTTTCTGGGAGTCCCTACAATCTGGTACACAAAGTGCATTCGAAAGGGGAGAAAAAACAGGAGTAAAAAACTGAAAAGAATAGGTTTCAGATTTGCCGACCAGTGAGTAAGGTAGTGTTGAACCCCATTTAGATGGCTTCAGCTTCAACTTTGGAGGCAGGATAAGAAAACAGTTTGGTAGCATTCGTATAATTCAGCTCGCCAATTCTGACTCTACCAGTTCAAGGAGTGATGCGACATACTTAAAAACCTGGAAAATAAGGGACCTCCACAGTTTGAAGTATTTTCTCATCCCATTATTGCTTAATATTAAGTAAACATGCCTCTTTTGTTAAGATGGAAAGCTCAATGCTCTTGCACTGGGTTGCTTCAGCAATTTAAACAAAAGGACATAAGTATTATTAATATACAATTTTGCTCTTCAAATTGCAAACAGGAAGGAGAGCAAGCATATTTTATTGTATATTTTTTCTTTCGGTTCTTGTTTTTGCCTTCAAGACTACTTTATTGTTGAAAAGGCACATGAACACATAAAACGAAAGAGTCAGGAAAAAAGCTTCTCCAAAGAAATTCTAGCCAAGTGTATCCACGAAAAAAACTTACAATATGGATGCGTTACATTTAATATCGATCATCTACTACGTCTCGTCTCGGCTATGCTAACAAATAAAATATGAAATAGGTAGTGTCAACTTAGCTTTATATTGTCAACTCTTAGCCTTATATTGTCAACTCTGATGTAGAACTGCAGCCAAGCCAAGCAACAGGATGTCAACTTAGCTTCAGTTAATCAAACCGTTGTATCATGCGTGCATAGGTAGTGCCTGAATTCAATTTGCACCACCGCAGTAGCGCTTCAATCAGCTTTTTGCAGGATATAGTGCTTAGTAGTATTAATTATGCTAGGGTACAATTTTGAAGCGGAATAATCCCATAAGCTGTTGTGAGGAAATCCAGCAGTAATCAGTTACAGTCCCCAAATGTTTCAGCTTCCCAATGCCGACGGAGAAATAATTGCAACGTATATTATATAAGAACACTTCAGATTAGAGATAGTTGTGAACCTTTTTCCCCTTTGCCTTTTTCCTATTTTATGAAAGTCCTCGTAGCACCATGTGCAGTTGAACTTCATCAAGCTATTGAGAAATATCGAACATTCACCAGAGATTAGGCACCTCATGGTTATATCATTTTCTATTACTATAGGTAAAAACACTTAGACTCTTATCAAGGAAAAACATAGCCATGGCAGCTATTTCCAGCAAAATCAGAAACTATATTAACTGATACTTGCCTGCTCACTGTGCACGATCGTCGTCCTCGAGCCGCCCGTGATGGGTAGATGGTGCACAGGCGTGCTACGCCGCTGCCGGCAAGCCCTGGTCGGAGATCCATTGCAGCCAGCGTTCGTCGCTCCTCGCTCGGCCGCCGGCGCCAGGCACAACCACCGGCAGCCCTCCCTCCACACGGTTGTCTGGTAGCCGCCCAGCCCAAGATCCTGCACACTTGGCACTCTGGAGTCCGGTCAACGCCTTCCCGGCACACCATCGCCTCGCCTAAGTCGGTCACCGCTCGTTCGCTAGGGTTTGGCAATTTGGGATTGGGAGAAACAAAAGTCAGGAGAAGAGGAAAAATGGCCAGGGGTGATTTCCGGTTACCGAGACGCTGTGTCCTGCTCTGCCTCGCCGTGCCCATGGAGGGAGGCGGGAGTGCAACTGCGGCGGGGAGCGGACACGGGGAAGAAGGGGCGCGGATGCGGTGGGTGGTCAGGCGTGCGGCGCAACCGAGCAGGGCGATCGAGGCGTTGGGGAAGGATTTTTTTTGCGTTTTTAGATTTGGGGATTGGGATTCGATCGCTGGTCGGCCATCCAGGGCGAGGCGCATCGCCGCGGTGTGCATGCCGCGCGTTGAAGCCTATGCTGGGACACGTTGAAGCCTGGAAGTTGATACAAATCATCCTGGCCACAGGATTGGGTTTGAAGGCTTTGAAGGATGGTTTTTAGCCCTTGATTTTAATACGGACGATTTGCTAGGTGTAATTGGTTTGGTGTATAATGGTCGGACTCCCTCAGCCGGGGACGCAATCTTGAGTGTACCTAGTATAATTTGGATTGGTCCATTACAGTAGAGATGATACGAGTGTTGCGACACCAACGAAGGTTTTGCATCTCCCAGCGATAAAGGTGAGAATGGGGACGACAGACTCTGAGAGAGAGAGAGAGAGTGAAGAGTGAGCTCTTTAATATTAGGTATACAATAGATAGGTAACTATAGATATTATCGAGACAACCTTGATTTCGATCAGATAATAAGAGTTCTAATTGGTTTACAATATCCAATCAAAAGCCTGGACTCACGAGCCATGCGTATAGGAGTTAGAAATAGTGTGTGTGCAAACTCACAACCCATGAACTTACGACGCATGCTTATAGGAGTTAGAATAGTGCGTGCGTTCAATCACTGCAGGAAATCGATTCCAAAACATTACAACATACGACACAAAATATATGTATCGTTGCAAAGCACATGCATGTCTTGCTAGTACCATATAACAACAAAACATACTGGATCGAGACAACCTCATTTCGACTTGTAGTAGCTTTAGGCCCACTTAACCCTTTGTGATGGGGGCATGGAAATTAGAGGCACCACTAAAACGAACGGGAACGGTATCTTCTATGAGCCCATGACTACAGGCCACGTCGTCGCAACAAGGCTCACACGAATAGGTCACGCCACCGCTAACAGTTAGGGTCGGCCACGACTTCTCGGATGCGCCGCCTTTAGCAACGTCATCAGCTACAACTCCTCGGGCATGCCGCGCTATTGGACTCATCCAAGTAGATCATGCCTTCACTAGCAATGTCATCGGCCACGATCACTCGTGCACACGGCCGCTGAGCTCACTTGAGCAAGGCACACTACCACTAGCAACGTCGCTGATCACGACCACTCTGCCATATATATATCGGCAAATCTAGTTGTCAAAAACATCAACGCCAAAATGGTTGATACGAGCCCCTTTGTATGGAAATAGGAAGCGTCCAATTTGAGCCCAGAGGCAATACAAGAAATGGACTAATTATGAAGAGTTTGATCGTGCTGCCATCTGATGAATACTCTTATCTCTCGCTACCAGAAAGTTGGCCGGATCGTGAAGCTAGAGCATTTGACGTTTCGCTCAGCTAGCTTGTAGGCAGTGATTAATGCAAGGAGCACGCAATTCTGTTTCCTTGACTTTTTTGCGTGAGGACCGTGACGTACGCGTGTCTACTCCCATGCAACTAACGCCCTGTTTGGTTGAGCTGTAGCTGTGGGAGAAAGCTGCTGTGGGCTGTGAGCTGTGGAAAAGCTGCTGTGGGCTGTGAGCTGTAGAAAAGCTGAAAGCTGTTTGGTTAAACAAGTATAAAATATACCTTTTATCTTTATCTCTCTTGAAACAACTATGGAAGAGCTTTTTATGCCACCAATTTCGAAAAGCAGAAAGCCAAAAGCCAAAAGCAGGGTCAAACCAGCTTTCAAAAATGAACTACGGAAAAGCAGCTGCTTCTGAAAAAGCACCCTCCAAAAACAGCCCCTTTGGTTAGGCTTTTGACTTTTGGGGCCAAAAGCCAAAGCCAAAAGCCCAACCAAACAGGACCTAAGATCGTCTCCAACAGCGCAGCTACTACGTCACCCAAACTTATTTTGCGTTGTTCACGTTGCTTCAAGGGAAAAATCACGGTCTAACTGAGTAGGCAAACCAAAGACCCATTTTACGTCGGAGCCGAGTCGGAACCCAAATTAGCGTCTCCTCTCTTCGTCTCTCTCCTCGACGAAATATCTGCCGCACAACCGTTTTGCGGGAGGGGAACCATGAGGAAAGCGCACCCAACGATAGGGAAAGCTTCACCGCCGGCAAGATCACCGAGCTAGGCTTCCCAGGTATGGATATCGCTCCAACACCAGCATATCCACCACTAGGGTGACCTACGCAGGAGCAGGACGCGAGGCCACAAGGGGAAGGGACGAGGTGGCATCATGGGCCTGCTGGTGCCACTCGATTGCACCTGCATTGCCGCTGTCGCTCGACTGCGCTTACGTTGTCGTTGCCGCTGTCCGCCTCCATGGCTCCGCCCTCCAGGCTTGCCGCTCGCTGCTGCAGCGCTCGCGCTGGTCGTCGTGGATCCCTGCTGTCGGTGTTTCGAATCGCCGACTAGTAAATTTATGATTTGCGCGTCTAACCTGGATGGTGTGCTCGGAGGACACAAGAATTTATACTGGTTCGGGCAGAATATCCTTACGTCCAGTCTGCTGCTGCTTGTGTTACCAGCACTAGTTTGTAGTAGGGGTTACAAACGGGCGAGAGAGGGAGCAGGTTCCAAGTCTCTGGTGAAAGGGTTGAACGGAGTTGAGTCTCGTTGAGCTCGTTCAGCCGTTCAGCGTGCCATTCGTGGAGCGTCCTGCTTTCCCTTTTATAGATGAAGGGGAAGGCGTAGGTTACACGAGAGAGAGAAGCGAGGAGGAAGAAGGCCTTCGGGGTCGCGGTGTCCTTCATCTCCTTTACGCGGGTTCTGTCGGTCCTGTAGATGATGACGGGGATGGCTCCACGTCACGACCCTATTCATCACTGACGCTATACGTGGGCGTCGTTAGCCGGTCGTGGCACTCCATTCCGTCCCGGCGGGCGGCATGGTTAGCAGATACCCCCGTCGGAAGTCGTACGGGATTAGATAGCATAGCGCCGGCATGCCCGACACTGTTGGCGATGTGAGTCCTTAGGTATGGCCCGTCGTGGCCGTGGGTCATGTCAAGACACGCCTACTTCCTTTTTGGTGTTAGAAGTTTGACCATGGGTTCGTACTCTTAGACCTGTAGTGGTTGGAGGCAGTACGGACCCCCGTCGGGCGAGGCGGAATCCCTCTTCAAGGGGTCTGGCGAGGCGAAGTCCATGCCCGAGGGGTCGGGCAAGACGGAGCCCGCGCCCTCGGGGTCAGACGTGACGGAGCCCGCGCTCTCAGGGTCAGATGTGACGGAGCCTGCACCCGAGGCGTCTGGCGAGACGGAGCCCGCGCCCTCAGGGTCAGACGTGACAGAGCCCGTGCCCTCGGGGTAGGGCGACACAGAGCCCGCACCCTCGGGGTCGGGCGAGACGGAGCCCGTACCTTTGGGGTCGAGCGAGACCAAAATACGCTCTTGACCATCCTGGCGAGTTAACGTTCACGGCCATTAGCTTCCTTCTTTCAGGTATCCCTAATACTGATACCCGATAGTAGCCCCGAGCTTGCGGAGGAGTAGGATACTCCTTCGAAGGCTTTTCAGACGAAAGGATTCTGAGGGTCTTGATCTCCCTTTGCGGGCTGTGGGATGTCTTGGTAGGGTCACGATTCCTTTCTGTCATGTTTGGACTCTTCAAGAGCATGAAGCTATGGGATTCGAGGGGTCAGAAAAGATCTCTCTTGATTTTGATCCTTTCCTAGGATCCGATCGATCCGCCATTGTCATGCGACCGCGTATTTGGTCTCCTTGCGAGTCTGACTTCCCCCTAGCCCTCGTGCATAGCAAGGGTCCAGTCGAGGGATCAGCTCGTCTTGTGGTCGTCCTCCCTCGATCATTTTTTTATAAAACCGAGGGGCTGAGTCGTGCCATGTTTTCCTCGATGGACGAATCATAGTGCTCGGTGAGCTGTTAACGGGCTAGTTTGAGTGGGGCCTCGACTTCCCATTCATGGGGGTCCAGCATGGGTCAGCTGGTGATCGACTCCAAATTCTTGGCGGCTAGTCCATATAGTTCTTGGGTCCGTTTGATTGGTCCCAAGGGCTCGTTGCCTTTCTTCGAAGAAAAACCATAGACCGTGCTCTGGCCAAGACCCGAACATGGGCCGGGATGCCCGTGGTGCTTGTGCGCCCAGGTACCAGCCGCTAGCGGGTCCATCCCTTACCACCCCTCACTCTAAAGGTGCCCTAGAGTAGTTGTGAACCCATCGGTGGGCCAACCTTCAAACTTCTGGGCCTTAATGGGCCGTGGGAGCGTTTTTAGCTCCATATCCCTTCTTACCTACGGCGTTTTTTGGCCCATCGAGGAGATGAACTGCTGTCTGGTGTGCCCTTCGAGGAGTGACTAGGGGTGGCGCGTGCACGATTCCTAGAGAGCTGATGTGATGAGGCGCGACAGGCGCATCGACCTAGGCGGACGGTTCAC